CCAAATTATTCACTCGCATTTAGATATATCAACATGTGTGAATGGCTATGGTGCTGCGAAGCGGTAAGGCAGCACGTGGAAATCCTGACAAACAATAGATGAACTTCACATCTCCGAAATCCAAACATGCTGTTCCACGGCTCAAGTTATAAATCTTCATTTCTGATTCTGATATTATCCTTGGCATATGACTGCGTTGTCCTTTCCAATTGCGATGTCATTCATCACGTTGAACCCAGTAAGAGCCGACAGTGAATGCGAGCCTCAAATACAGAGCGCCAGAGCACGTGTCTGGAGCACAGAGGCCTCGCGGAGCCGTGCCGAGACAGGGTGCCCCTTCCCCGCTCCAGAGCTGGCCTGCGGTTGCCGGTGCCTGATACCCTGGCGACGGGGCCGAACTGGGTCAGGGTCTTAAGATGTCGCACGGGCCGCCGAAAATAGACGAATCCAATCCAGGCCGCCTTCACCGCGTCGTTATCAAAATCGCTTCAGCACCGCACGCGCCTTGAGAAAAGCATTGGTCGTACTTGGTCTAGGACGGCGCCCGCATATGATCCCATCATAGCACAGAATTTGGGCCACGGCGAAATAAAGTAAAATATCACATTCTACGTTCTAAGATGGCTGTTTCCTAAGCTGCCAGGTCACGAGAACTACCGTTTCACGCGGGATAGCTCTGAGGCAAACGGAAACTTCCGCCATGTTTGATTCATGAACAACCTGTTCAGGTCTTATAGGCTTGTTTTAAATGGCGCAGTAAAACGGCCCAGAAGAGTGCCGCTGGCAACAGACGGCGAAGTGGCGAGCTGAACGACCTGGCAAAATGGACCGTTTTCGCGGTCTCCGCCGGACACACCGCCCTGATGATTAATCGAACGTTGCAGTAACGGTCCTCGGTTAACTCTCAACTTTTTGTCACTACTCGACGACCGGGCAACTGGACTGTCGCGTAAATCTATGTCTTGCGAGCACTTTTGCTGATCGCATCCATCGTGTTCGACTCCTATTTGTGATGGGTAGCGGTGATCGCGTACTCTACAGGGCGTAGCAGATCGCAATTGGACCAAAAGCGGGGACGACAGCAGGGTCTGGTGGGGTTGCTTGTGTTGCTTGAAGAGTGCAATTACAATGGCCGCTGCAATGTAACTACTCGACGAAGCACTTACCGACGAGTTGACGGGCGGCATCGATGTCTAATATTTCTCTGCATGCTTTGAATTGGTCACCAGCATAAACACTTGAAATAATTGTGCTCGAATGAAAGGTAAGCTCACATTACAGTAACGCTACAGAGCTGGAATATTTGTAAAGTTGTCCGCACACACGGTCCATAACGACTTGGTAAAGTAAGGGTCCATTGTGTACATGGCGTAAGTATTCATAAAGGCCAGGCAATAGTGAAAGCGCTCATTTATGCCTTCAAAATCCACTGCATCCGCCTCTGAGCGGCGTGCGGTTGTTCTTATGAGCCGGCATCGCCCCGAAGAGCTTATACTGGAATGGAACTGGAGCTGGAACTGGAATTGGAATGAGCCAACGCTGCAGAAACACAACAAAGTATCATTTTTATTTCAGGGGGTGGCGCCAGTAAGGGGAGAGATGGCCTGCAGTGGGTGCACTCAATTTCTGGAATATTTAGCATGAACTCTACTGTGCTGCATGAAATTCCTCCCAAACAATGCAAAGTTTTTGCCTCTAGAATTTGCGTGTGATTTTATGAGTTGAAGATCACGTGCCCCAGCCACCTACTGCCAGGATTCACTGTTCTTGCGTAAAACTCATGGTAATAAAGAAGTTTGTAGATTTATTGCTGCGATATTGGTGGAGGTCTCCCAGTGCACTGCATGTGGACGTAACGGCCAAGTCACTAGCGTCTTGCACTCTCATGTAGGGGCCCGGGGTTCGAATCCCGGTTTTGCTATGGCCCCTGAACGCGAACATGACTAATACTGCCGCTGGTGCTGCACAACAGAGGTGCGCCCGAGGTGTGTTGTGTTCCCCTAAAAAAAAAACAGTGCACTTTGTGTCCAATTTGGCCAGCTGATTTCGAAACCTCAATTACAGGTGAACCGTTTGCTTGAAAATATTTATGTTTCCTCATCTGTTGGGTAGGACCCGCGTTTTAACCCACTCTCGGGATTGTGGGAGTGCCTGCGCCCAAAGGCATGACGAACTACGGTACAGGCGATCGCTGGATCCGGGTGAGACGCGCAACGAGATTCACGTCTAGACCACATGAAGACGATCGCATGAAGCCGGAACGAAAACTAGCGTCACAAAATGTCTTAGTTACTTCAGCTCTCTCTGCTGAGATTGTATATTTCAAACAAAAGGGGGGAATATGTTCGGGACGAATGAGCCAAAAGCATAGCTCGCAGAAGCGATTGTGCTTTGGCAGAGGCCATTGTCTCAGTTATCCCAGTGTCGGCGGAAGGCTCGGCAAACAGCCCACACCCACCCACACAGCTGACCCCAGCGCCGTGCAAGCAACTCCCAACCGCGCTGGAGCCATCCCTGACTGGGCCTGCACGAGCAACGCGTGTAACGTCCCCCGGGGGCGTTGGTCGCGAACTTTCCGTCCGCGCAGTTGACCCTCTGTCAGCGGGCGACCCGGTGCACAGCACTTGGCCTTGACCTGACGCCGAACGTGCTGTGGCGTGGAGAAAGGTGTCTGGGGGTCGGGGGCGGGGCGCACGCACTGAGGCTGCAGCGACCCGGCAGGGGTCGCTGACCCGTCGACAGGCGCGTACAGGTGCGGCACGCCGACGGCCGATTGGAACGGTCAGCAAGAAGCGCTTGCTGTGACGTTGCGAGGCGATAATGACGGCCGGCGGCCGTCGCAACAAAGCCGTCACTCAAACAACGCGAAGGGCGCAGCAGTAATGGCGTCACACAAAGGTTGGGGGAATTTACAGGAGGCAGATGAAAGTCTCTCGTGCTTCAAAAATGTGTTTGTAGCTGTCCGCCACGCCCCCTTGCAAACCATGGGTGAAAACGTATAAATCTGTCTGCACACAGTTAGTAAAAATACGTAACTTAAGCATGAACTATTCGTAAATGTATTTTGGACGTTCAAGATGATGGAAAATAGGTAGCAATTATGTGCATGAATGGGGTATCGAAGTTAACAAAACAAGATCATAGCTGGCCGTGCGTTATACACATTTTTGCTTTACAAGGGCATATTAATTTGGAAATGTCTGAAAATTTACTAGAACCCAGGGTCGGCTTTCACCCGAGCCAAAGCCATTAATTTACCAAGTAATTGTCAACGGTGACGCCAGCAATGGTCGTGGGCAGCTGTTGGTGAATAACGCAAGCCAACTGTCGGTCTCTAATTGGTTCCCCAGCGGTACCGCCACATGCCAACGAGGCCCCAGACCGTGCCGCTCCGTCCGCAGGTCCGGGTCATATCACCGCCTGGTTCTCTGAAGACGCCCGACAGCGGGTCACGGAGAGGGGGAGGGGAGGGGCCCGGCTCCAGCGACGGCGGCGGCTCAAGCGAAGTTACATGGTGAGGTAATAAGGTGTCAAATGTATGCTTAGCTAACCCCCGCCACCCAACGACTATGTCACAGCCCATGAAACGCTGACTGCTATATAACATCAAGATGGGGGAAAAATATCATCACGTAATAGCGTTTGGTGGTTTTTGCTGCCACATTGACAATATTTCACCTACCCATAGGATAGACACGTCCAATCAAGACTATTCTAACACTGAATTGCCTGCCATGCGAGAGGTTTATCGACGGAAGTTTTCCCTTC